GTGGCACATCCGAATCGAAATTTAAATAAGATTCACATCGTTAAATTTAAATAAGATTCACATCGTTAAAAATTTAAAAATTCATTAAAAATTTAAATAAGATTCACATCGTTCATCATAATCTCAGTTTTAAAAGCAAACCTCCAAATCTTATTACACTCATTACAAATACATTGCTATACCCATGCAGCCACTTCGTTACTTAATTTCCATTTCGTAATTGTTTGTATCTCGAAATTTGGTTTGTTAGTTCTTATAACGTTATGTGAGATGATCTACTTATTTACGTGAATATTCCGCGACTCACTTTCGCTGTATCACGTAAACTTACAAGATTTAATTACCCAAGATTGAGGTCATAACTACTACATTTCATAACGATGACAAATCCAAAAACTCGCCCAAAAATCAAGCATCTGGTCTCCTCATACAAGTTCTACAAATTTTGCTGAAAAACGACGCCGTGTCACTTCTAGCACTTTTGTAGGAATGTGTAGCGCAACTCATGCACCTAATGATGTCTGAAGCCAAAATTTGTCGTGTCCAGCAAAGTTCTATCGTTGCTTCTTATAACTGTTCAACATCAATCTGTAAGAAAATAATTCTCATTTTCTATGTGCAGAGGAAGAAATATTTTCATTGACGTATAGAAGATTCGGATCGTTTTCCGATGGAGTTTATTGACATGGCCAGTGCAAAGTTTTGTTCTAGCAATTTGTTTTCATTTCATTAGTTCGCAGAACAAATACTTTTTACTTTAATTATTAAAGTTCAGAGTCTCTGGATATATCTCACATAATTTCCAAATTTAAGAATATATTCCTGAATATACCTCATATGTTAGTGAGTATCAATAAATTTCAAAACATATCTCATAAACCCGAGCGATTACACTGCCACCAGTGTTAATATATCGCATCTGTATTAGTGATGTTTCTGTTCCATACTTTTGACAAACTGTTCTATTTTTTCTTTTCACTTGATTTGTTCGGTTCAGTACTTTGCGTTCATTTTTGGAACTTTTCTATTCTGTTCCTTGGAATAGAGCAATTATAGAAACGAGCACATTTTTTACAGCTTGAGAGTTCGAATGTTAAAACAGTTTATTTTCAAGTAAAAAAATTTTAATGCCAAAATATTACTTAAATTTTATCATCGATACACGTTTCCGTGCAAACCTGAGAGTGCGATTAATTTGAAAATGGTAATTACGGTATTCCTGCACACTTGTATACATTGATTAATGCGGAAACAAGGTGCTGGAATGATCGGCTAAGCTACATGAGGTGGTTTTAGAATATCGTGAGTATTACTTGTAGCACACAAAATCGCCCGACAAGAAATGTGCTTTTCTGAAACTAGAGAATCTGGAAAAACCGATGGTGGAGAGCAAACTCTGTGCAAACCTGAGGGTACAGTTATTTTGAAAATGGTGATACCGGTATTAGTGGCCACTTGTAAACATTGAAGGTCATATTGATAAACTCGATGATGCGCGACAGAAAATGTGAGGGAGATAATTATGAAATATGTGTGGAGAAGAATGAAGTCTATAGCTGAAGAAGTGGTATGCTGCTTATATTGTGTGGACTATTCGGCATTATACACCGGGAAGACTGGATAACCGTTGGAGTTGGGATATAAAAAACATATAGGAGGCATGAAACACCCCGAAAAGGTCAGTGCACACGAAGAATATGCATGGTGGTGTGGCATCGAAAGCGAATGTGCAGATACCTACAATGGAGAGGAATGCGCAACAAACAAACATACTGAAAGCTATAACCATAAGAGATCTTAAACCGGATATAGAATAAAGCTTGGCATAAAGGAGGCGGTGAAGTTCTTCAACTTCTGATGTTTCTAATATTTATCCCATTGCAAATATTACTGATACTGCTATCACTATTTGGTAATCATTATCACCACATTCACTTCTGTCACTTCACATATCATAACTCACAATAATTATTCTGCCCATACCGTATTGTTAATCAAAACAGTTTTAATCCTCCACGTTCCTCTTTCTTTTACCCACCCAACTCGTGCTCGTTCCGGTTTAAAATCTTCGCTCTAGNAACGTATTAGCTATTGATGGCGTCCTAGAGCCGAAACATCCTGCGGTGTTTTCCTATTTTATGCGTACAATGTTGGTCGGTTATTCATCTGTTTATTTATTATCATCTCACTTTCTTATCATTCACTTTAATTCATCTGTTTATTTATTATCATCTCACTTTCTTATCATTTATTTATATTACTGTAGACTCCACATTCGTTCACATGTCTGTTAAGTGCTCTCTTCTGTTTGTTGAGGTTTGAGAACCACTGACGTGCGTTGCTCTCTGTCTTTGGCTTCGTGCTACTTTGTACACGCCCATTGTCTAGTTCGACCGACGTATGTTAATTCACTGCTGGTATCATAAATCGTTGGAGAAATATTTAAGGATTACGGACCAAGTCGAAAAAAGGGATAAGCGATGGGGAAGGAACAATTCCGTGAAACGGATCTTGCTCGGAAAGTGTTAGTTTTTCATAATTGACTTTCAATATATATTGAAGATTCGTCAGCTTATTTCAGTTTTTGTCTTTGGAAAATTCGTAAAATTTGTAATGGGAACTGATTCGTTGGATGGAAATGAATTTGAGCCAGTTAAGAACACTGATACATATTCAGTGCAATGAGAGTGAATTAACTTTCAGCGGAGGTGTGCAGTTTATGGCTGGAGATGCGGAAATGATGCGACAGGTTGCACACATCCCCATTTTCAACAATAAGCTCTACGATGAATGTCCTGGCAGATGGGTGCCTGCTCCATTTGGGCCTCTCGACCCTCGTTTGGTAAGTTTACTCTTAACACAATATATGTCTAGTCACGCTCATTTTGAGTCATTCGATGTTTGCATGGTGCTAGTTATAACGTTTTGCATCTTGAACTTAGATTTTGAAATTTCAGTACTGTGTGAATTACAGACGTATATCGCTAGTTAAAGTTTACTGAATTGTTGAATAATTAATTGTGCTTTTGTAAATTTGTAGTTGAGTTTGGTGAAGTCAGAACGGCAGTTCATTAATTAGCATTCACAGTTTTATAGAACACGTGGATTTAAACTCATAGTTGATTGTTGTTTTCAGTGGTTTTTTTTNTTTTTTTTGTGTTTTTAGTTGAATGTTTTTCAGCTATCTTCACAGTCTTTACAGTCCTACTTTGCAAATAAATAAGAACGAAGTAGCATTTCCATTTTAAACGGAATAATTACGGGTTATTTTAATTTGAAGGGAACGTGCCAAAAGAATACCGATTGTCAAACGTGCAAACAGAATTTAACAGACTGTGTTGGTCATTTTGGATATATTGATCTGGCGTTACCCGTTTTTCATGTTGGTTTCTTCCGACTCACCATTCAAATGTTACAATGTATTTGCAAGGTATTTTTGAGTGTTATTTGTTTATTTTTTAAAATCTTATTGTTTATTTTTACTGATTTTGAATCTTATCTGAAATGAAACATTCATTTGCTTTTCTTGTGAATTCATTTTTCGTATCTTCACAGTAGTTGATATCGGCTGTAAATGTTTAGCAGCATTTTTCGTTCAATATTAATGGTAATGCCCATATCAATAATAATGCTAATAATATTATGATGTCAATATTATGTAATTGTTGTCGTATCGACAGTAATCTGTATTACTGTCACGAAATCTGATTGAAGCACTGCTCGGGTCTGCTGTTGTCTGGCGAACAGAAGAAAATATTTCTACGACAAGTGAACAGTCCAAACTTGGATTATTTGAGAAGAAAGGCGCTTCATAAACGTATTGTGAATGCTTCGAAAAAGATCACGTTATGTCCACATTGTGGTCATAAAAACGGTCAGTTTATGCTGCTTCCTTGCAAGGATCTTTGGAATATGTGTTCATTAGCACTGTCGATCTGTTTCCTCGAAAAGGCGATCACTGTTCCTCCTGAAAATAGCACGTAATGCGTAATAATTTCTGTAAAGAATACAAAAATTAGCACTAATAAGGCATCTTTATTGGTAATAATTCGATGTTTTCGTTATTGTAATCACTGAGAATGAATTATGCATCTCACACAGTGAACGTTTTCATTTGATTTGATACATCAGTCGTCGTGCATGGACATATAACAAAATTAGTAATATTATTCATATTAAAGGAGTTGTAAAAAAGGCAGTTGGAGCTGTGTTAAAGATTGCCCATATGGATCCGATACCAGTGGACAAATTATCAAATTTTATTTATGCGTCTCAAGAAAATAAAGAACTGGGAGCACTCATACCAAAAACAAAGTTCTCTCTCTTGAATCCTCTTGAAGTTCAAAAGATATTCAAAAAAATTAAATTGGAGGTATGTTTGTGTGAGTTTTGTTTTTTTTTTACTTCATTATTGCATTGTTTTATCAACGAAAGACGTGTGAAACTCGTTTAGAAATCATATGGAAATGGTTTTATCAAGACTTTCTAAGGTAGTTTCATATAATTTCACCGAGGATCATCTACGAACAAATAGTTCACCGCTTAAATTTCAATGAGTCTCAATTGGTCAAATCTCAGGATATACCTCTGCTAATGATGCGATCTGCCGGCAAACACCAGCATCCTGTCGATGTTCTGCTCAGTCGACTACCCGTTCCACCGTGCTGCATTCGACCATCAGTTGTATCCGAAGTATCTTTTTTGTTTTACTCCTAAATGTCCTTCACCGTTCTATTTTACTAGAGCATTCATTTCAAGTGTGATCTTATTGTTAGACCATAGCATTGTTTGGTTGCTTGATTTTGATTTTCACACGATTTGTGCTGTTGAATCGAGCAAAAGGTTTATGTCTGCTTTGGTTGAAGGTTAAATCTGGCACAACAGAAGACGATATAACAATGAAACTGTCTGAAATAATGCTAATCAATGATGTTATTCGGAAACACAAGCAGGACAGTGCACCTGCAAAGACAATAGCTGAAACTTGGGATCATCTGCAGGTTCGATATTGCCTTTACGATTCGTTTCGTTTATTTGATATTATCATCGTTATTTCTATTAATAATAATACAACTACTAACGTTTATCCAGGTACAATGTGCTCTTTATATAAACAGTGAACTGAGCGGATTACCGCCAGACATGCAACCCAAAAAACCAACCCGTGGATTTACTCAGCGCTTGAAGGGTAAGCAGGGACGATTCCGAGGCAATCTTTCCGGAAAACGCGTTGATTTTTCAGGACGAACGGTTAGTTATATCTTTGGATAGACGAAGGATGTATCTTCAGACGAACGGTTATCTTTAAAGTGTTAAGGTCCTTTCCCCACATCTAAATTCCATTCTCACAACACATTAAAAACTTATCTGAATGTACATATTGCCTAGCATTGCTGCAATATTCATGCAAAATGACATATAATTTTGTGATAGTTCGTTTTTGTCATTTGCCGTTATTGTATTTAAAAATTGACATACGTCAGTTATATATATATATATATATATATATATATATTCCTTGTACATATGCAGTTGTATATG